CCAGAATACGAAAGATCATCCGTGAAAAACCAATCGGATTTATCTCCCTTATCTGAACCAGTGCCCACGAGAGCTTCCTCTAAGAGAGAGAAATGGCCCGATAAGAGTGAAATTGGCAGACAAATTAGAAAACGAAAACGCCTCAGTTTTTATTAGGAATAAAATAGGAATCGTTACTCTTCTTCCGGGCATTAACCCGTCTTCCCCAAATCCCTCCACAGTGATATTGTCTTTGACAAATAATAAAATGCCAAATGGCTAAATCTAACCCACATTATTTATCCACGTTAAACCTATACCGTTTACATTAATATATGACTTTGCCCATAACACAGAACCCAGGGCCACAAAACCCAAATACAGAAGGTCTATGCCGCACTGCGTAGCAGGTATCATTGTCGTGTGTCGTCAAAGGAAACGATTCCTTGGCAAAATATTAAACCAACGAAAATAGACCAGGCGACCTTCAACGAAACGATACCATCTCAGTCAGGCTAACCGAGGAGCATAAACCGTCTAGGGTCAAGCGCGCCCTGCGTCAGCGATAAGCCCGATGCAAATGTTGCCAGGATACACTGAGCATGTTCGCGGATCGAAGAGCCTTATTCGAGGTCAGTGAACATCGGCCATTTTCTTTTCACGAATCAAAGTCCTAGTCGCTCTTGAAAGACGTCAGAGCGATCTCCAAGATGCGTGTAGATGATACGAAACGTAGTCAGGATACCAGAAGAACTTGTTGTTGGACACCGTTGAAAAATGTTTACCAGGAGTCAAGTTTATAGGTACCTAAAAATATACAGGAATTAGAAATCGGTTGTTATCAAGAAAAAAGCTTTGTGCTCCTAGAGCTGGTTCCTGGTAACGGGTGTCATTAATCATCCACGTGGGTATTGACTCTGGCCAAAAGGCGCCCATCAAAGTGTCATGGCTACCAGGAGCTGTCAGGCAGGTAATGGCATTTCGTCGACAATCCTTTTTTCTCCTAGTTCTGACAGAATCCTCGCACTTGTCACCCATCGTTGAAGTATATGGTACAATTAATTTACGCAGACGTAAATTACACCGCCATTGTCCTGCGCTCTTGCAATTATCCTTAGTGTCCCATCGACCTCGGCTGTAACTTCTTTATTATCACCGATTCTTTGGAAGTTTATCAACTTCACGGGAAAATCCCATTAGGTACCCATCCACGTGATGGGCCAGTTTTTACCGCTGGAAATGATCTGTGGAGAAACCTATTGGAACCCTGAACTCCATTGGCGAGTTGACTACATATACTTCTTCGTGGTAACTCTCTATTACAAAGTAGAATGGGATGTCGAACTAACGATTAATACTGGTTGGCTATCTAGTTCAGTATTATAAATTAATGGTTCTAAGGTACGAAAAAGTCTAAATGCAATAAAATGGAAAGGCGCAAGAGGTCAACGAATAAAATTACTCTCTGCTTATCCTCAAGTTATTGAAGTATCGGCGTATATCTTGTTATATTTGACTATAGATCCTGGACGGATTTAGTAGGATATGAAGAATCTCTTTAGAAGCCATAGAAATATGACTGCGCCAAGAATCTGTCGCAGAAGTTTTATCCTACAAAACTGTGCCGCAACCTCAGCAGATAGGATATATATATCGAATTGGGACTCCTGCCAATCAATTCTCTCTTGGCCAAGTGACGTAGAGCGAGGGTCTCCAAAGGTGTAGTAACTTCCCAGCAATTTACACTGAGTCACCTTATACGTTCCAACAGGTCCTCCTTGATGCGAGGATGAAGAAGAAATACGAAACTGGACAGAAGGAAAGACAGGATCATGGTACAGAAAGCAAAAAGGCAGAAAAAAAATGAATTAAGCTTAATGGATATTATGTACCAGTCGGTTAGGTTAGGTCTGGCGGAATGGAATGAACGGTTGCCAATATGACGGATCAATAATTTGAAACCATCCAAGAGAATTTCCCATAGCGTCTATTCTTTTTCACTGGCCTTTAAGTCTGTGCGTGCAAAAAGTGATTTTAATCTAAGTGGATATTTCCAAGGCATCGCTTCGATTCCACGGCTATTCCTCAGGAGGACTTAACGTCCGTCGAAAACCAGACCGATTTACATTCAGCTGTCGACGTGGCATACTCTTCGGTTTTCCCAGCGAGTGGACCAGCATCTACGTAGGTATACTCGGACCACCGGAAACCATGGCAGCCAACCAGAAAAGAAAGATCAATATATAGGTAGAAGGAATTTACCTTGTTGATGAAGAAGATCATCCAGACGTCGAAGGACAGCAGCGTCGCGATGCTCTGGAAAATTTGTAGACGTTTCCAGTTGCAATTTTCCAAGAACGATCCAATCCGAGTACCACTGTTCTTTCTTCTTAGCTGGCATTGTTAGAGTTTCACTGGAACGGTACAATAAAATGTCAAATGAACGTCTCCATTTTGAGGCAGAAAGTACCTGAGAAGTCAATGGGACAGTGGAAATAAAAGGTGACAGTAGCTTTATCCTACAATAAATTATTGTAGCGTAAAAGAAAATACTCACAGTGCTGAAATTTATAAATATTATTACTACAGCTCTAACCTAACCTAACCTCTGCCATAAAAATTTTAACAGAAGCACCAACAGATTAAAAGATCTAGCATCTCTTGGACCCTCAAAAGCACCGGGATGCTGCATTGCACAACTTACAAAAACGTGAAATTCGTACAGCTGAAGTGAAGAACCTCAAGTTTCGAAACGTCCCGAGAGAGAAAAACGAGGAATAGAAGAAAACGAAAAACGTACCGACTATCTCCTTCTGGACTGAGAACGAACTCAATTTTCTGTAGAGTAGAACTTGTGGAAAATGCTATAGGTAACTTTAGCCCATTCCTAGTACAGTGTAGAATATACAGATCCGTCCAGACACAACTGTATGTACAAGTCTGTAACACAGATGCCTCGAGCAAGATAACCCTTTGGTACCAGCAGATTGTATAAAAAATAAAAACTAATAGTCTACTCCAAACTTTACTGAAACTTCTTCATGTTTTCAGGGTAATCCAAAAATTTACTCAACTACACTCCATCTCGTGCGTATTCGTGCTTTATACGTGTCATATATGCCATAAAGATTATTTATAGATACACTAATATTCCCAATTCCCAAATTAGAATTGGCCGTAATGATTTTCGTTTCTGCAACGTGGCAGCGCCGACTCACGGTTTACGGCACGTGAATTATGCGACATGACAAAACGATGCAAGGTCCATGAATTAAACTGTGGGCTGACGTATTCCGGCATGAAACTGGAATGGTAACAGCTTGCGATTCTGTTACCGCAGACAGGAATTAACTAGCAGCCTCCTAATGGGTTACGGGTCGATTTACGTGTAAAGAAAAGAGAAAGAGAATAAATAAGCAAACCAGAAACAGATGCACAATAAACGAAATAAAAACTACGTCTTGCAATACAAAAGCTACCGCTAACATTATATTACGAAATGGTGTCGTTCGAGAAAATGGCGACTGCCGTTTAGCCACTGTATCTTCTCATAATCTGAACAATTCGAAGGAATAAAAAATATCAATGAATTAACAAAACATACTAACAAGTATTGTATTACGTGTGACTGAACGTGTTGTATTTATTTGTGATTAAACTTTTTATAGTCAATTCAAATAATCATTGTCATTTTTTCAAACTGACAAAGCTCGTCGTTATTTCCTTTAATACGAACAATATAAACGGATGAAATTTCTCTTGTATTACCTTGTGATTTTCTCAAAGTACCTCTCAGAGAGAATAACCTGGACGGAGAAAATTGCCTGAGCGAATCTACTGAAGAATTGAACATGATGCAGAGACGTGCTGAATGTCAACAACAGATATCGTAATAAGTCATTGAAGAATTAAGCAGCATTGCACATTTTTATACAAGATGGATAATCCCCTGACAAGGAGATACACGATACTTCACCGTGGACAGGTTAAAGGAATCATCTCCACGACACTGATAGAAGACTATCTGTTAGCTATGAGAATAATAGCAAACATTACAGTTATTCAGAAGCCATAAAGATACAAGAATGAAAGTCAAAAACTCTATCGCCATTACTCCACGTGTAATAAAGTAGTCCAGTCATGAATTCCAATGAATAATTTTACTTACATACCTTATAACTTTGATGTTTTCGTTGACTCTCAGTACACTGTTACACTACGTTTAACACTTATAACAAAAAACTAGAAGCTTAACTCTTTAAGGATAGTGACAATACATTGTAGATTGTAGGTTAGGTGCGAAGTAAATCGTTCTTTTACTGCACGTTAAATCTTTTACCACTCCGACATACTGCCGATACTCGTAGATTAAAGTTATAACGAAAGATCTGACAAAGTATCGAAGGTTCCTCTAAAAACACGAAATGTCCTTTGTTGAAGATCTATAAAAATTATGAAATTAAAAGAGGGTGTCTCTTCGAAGGACGCGTGTACGAAACTTATCCCGTATAAAAGCAAACGAGTAACCAACGGTTACACCGAGCAATGGCCTCTACCTTGACTGTGGTTTCGGGCCCTGAGGGCACATGGCCTCGAAAAAGTCCCTATTTATTATATAATCTCCAACCGTCGTCCCTGTACGTAACCCAGAAAAACAAGTTGGCGGAATGACCGTGTAAAGAAGTGAGAAAAAAATTGGAGCATAGCGAGTTCTTGACCGAGAAGAAAAGACGGTAGTTTTATACTTTACTCGGTTCTCTCCAGTGTATGGAATTAAATAAAGATATATTTTTAATATCAGCGTACTTATGTATTCCAGAAATATAAATTGCAAACAACACATTTTCCCTCCGCCGCAATCCATTCATTTATGACTCCCGAATTACCACATTTTCAAACTCGTCTATAACAAGGTATTGCGACGTTGCCGACAGTCGGTAAATAAGGGGCGGTCGATAATATAGTTTCCTGACTATAGTTTTGACTTGACATTTGATACCATTACATAATACAAATAATTAACGTTTTGTGTTACGTGTTTCGGCCGCTCGATCTTCTTATTTTGTTTTCTAGTCGGCACCATCTCTCAGGCCATTTGCAATGTCGGCGTTTCAGCCGATAACTCGATCTACGATTATCACGAGTATCCACACACAGACAAGCATACGTGACAACAATTCTGGTAAAATTCCTAATCTATTTTTCTTCTGCTAACGACAAAACGTCATTCTTTACTCTTTCTTAGTCATTGCGATAAAGTTCCATAAGTTGACAGTGTTATCAACTGTTATGATCCCCAGTGCCATAAACGTATAGTAGATATTCCACGGATTTTTGTGCATTCCCCCACTCCGCTTAGTTACGTGATACGTAATGACACGTTTCATATGTCATTGGCTATATAACACGCATTTGTAAAATCTGTTTTAGAGGGGTCGCACAACTACATGGACTAATTACTTGGAGTAAACCAGTTATTTAGTATAAGTGATAAATATTAAATTACTTCTAATGACTGTATCGTCGTTAGCTCGTAAAAAATCTTTCGCCGTTCTGTAAAACGAATTCATAAAGAACAACAATAAAATTCAAATTCTTCGTTACTTGACGAGAAGACTAAAATAACAATCATGTACGTATACAATTTTATTAATATTTTAATTGAATTAATTACACCCAGAATATTTGCAGAATAACATAAATTAATACGAACAATTTCACTTTATTTTCAATTTATTATATGTATTTTACATGCGTATTTACGACCAATATATTCTACGGATTCGTAAACATCCATTTCTCAAAAGATTCAATCGTTCAAGTTGAATGTACTTCTAATTATAATTCTCAAGAATGTCGACGTTAACATTTTCTCTCTTGCGCCTTGAACTTATAAATTCCCGTCAAAGTTTAAATAAAGCAACCTTGGGCATCGCGCGTTGCGCTCGAGAATAAAGTTTATGCAACTCTTTCGCAAATTTTTTCTTCTATGAAAAACAGAAGTTTGTAGGAGACATGAAATATCGAATAATATCGCCATAACATACAAATATTTGACATTTTTTTAATATCCAAAGTGTATCCTTGCTTAAATATTGAAACATCCGATATACTGGTTCAGAAAGAACTTTGCTTTATTTTTCAAATGACTCATACATTTAAAATAATTTATTGATAACACAAAGCTAAATATCCTTTTGTTGACATTTTGGGTCAAAACAAATGATTATTTATGATTATCGCAAAGATTGGTGTTTGCAGTAGTATTGTAAAATAAAAGAAAATTTTGCTGGATAATCGCAAACGATTATAGTGCAGAACTCTCATTATTGTGTTAGAGTAATTCTTTCTTTCTCTATATAATTAAATGGATAATTGGAATTTGATGGCTTAGGAAAAATTTACCGCCAACCTATGTGGAGGGATTCCACGATTTGGAGGCTGTGAAGAAGATGGAATACAGAACACTAGGAAGGACAGGACTGCAAGTCAGTAAATTGTCGTTTGGTGGTGGACCATTAGGCTGTCATTACGGGTAATCAAATAAGTCAATACAAATTACTCTAAAATTACAAACACCAATTCTTGGAATGACTAAAAAAATAACGCGTAAATTAAGATATCGCAATTACGTAAGAACAAAAGCAATCAAGTAAATAGTACGTCAAGATATCAAGATCCGTTAATATATTTTCATTTTATCTACAGCAAGTATGACGAGAACGAAGCAATCGAAACGATAAGACATGCCATTCGTCAGGGTATTAATTACATAGATACAGCGCCCTGGTATGGTCAAGGTCAATCAGAAGCGACCCTTGGAAAGGTGATTAAAAAGAAATTAGTAATAAAGAAATCAAATAAGTAATTAATTCCTTATTTGAACAGGCGCTTAAGGGAATACCCAGAGAGGCTTATTATATAGCAACAAAGATTGGCAGATACGAACTGGACTTTGAAAATATGTTCAATTTTACCGCTGAAAAAACAAGAAAGAGCTTCAAGAGAAGTCTGGAATTACTCGGTTTGGATTACGTCGACATAATTCAAGTTCATGACATTGAATTCGCTCCTTCGTTGAACATGATAATAACGCAAACCTTGCCAGAACTGTCAAGACAAGTGTCCGAAGGAAAAGCCAAGCAGATAGGTATCACCGGATATCCTGTCTCGATCCTGAAAGAATGCATTGATTTGAGTAATATAAAAATAAGCTGTATATTAAGTTACTCACGTTTTACACTGATAGACGACACTTTGGAACATTACATTCCTTTCTTCAAAGTAATTATATCGTTATCGTTTATTAGTCTAGTTTAAAATCTATATCTTATTGTGAGATAATAATTTGATTACTGTTAAAAATATCAGGAACGTAATATTGGAATTATATGCGCATCCGCACCTTGCATGGGTCTGTTGACTAATCATGGACCACCTGAGTGGCATCCTGCTTCTGAAGATACGAAAAAGAAGTGTTCGGAAGCAGCAGAGTACTGCAAGGTCAGTAGGATTTTGTTTTGAAAGGTAATCATTCGTGTATTCTTATTGAATATTTCAAATTGCAGGACCACAATGTTGAACTTGGAAAATTAGCTGCTTGGTACTCCATGCAATGCAAGGATATTGATACGAGTTTGATTGGGATACAAAATATGAGAGATTTGCAATGCAATCTGCAGGTCGTTTACGAGGGCATAAACGATGACGAAAAGAAACTGCTTGAAGAAATTAAAGAAAAGCATGTATACGCTAACTATTTATTACATATTATGAGTATTACTTGTATATACATTTTTGGTATAAGGTGACGGGAATCATTGCATGATAAAACATGGAAAAAGAAATATTTTCATTTCCATATAAAATCATTGATAAGAAAAGTATCTTATGCAATAATTTCGTCATATGTATATATTTGCTTGGCTCTGCGTTCTCTGTTAAGTGCCTCTAAAATGAGATTGGTATTGCTTTTATAAAAATAGCTGTTATGTCATTGGTTTTGGGAAGATAACGAATAGATGCTATTGACCCCATGATGACATAGATCAGTTATTTTAGTCTGGGTAAAAGGTGGTACGATTGGAATGTATTATAGTGAGAAAAAGGGCCTGTGGAATGAGACGAATTTATTGGGCATCAGGGAGCACGGAAATCGATGACGACTCGATTTCATTAGGACCAACTGGAATAACATGTCTATAAGTTCTACGTGACATACGAATGAACAGTGGTAGTATTCACGGTAGCTTAATTTTGTTTGCCTGTCAAGACTAAACGTAGCTTTAAAATTTTCGAATAAAAAAGCACGTGGAGACAAAATTATTAAAGAGAATTAAAATGATTTTTTTGTATTTTATGATAGCTCCAGATATCGGAGACTCTTAAAGTGTATCATGTGACGTATTGTGACATACTCGACACTGCCAAAATATATATAAATCGCGAGAATACGTCTATCGAAGTTCGAGCTTGCCGAATCCCTATCTGCCCTGATGAGTTGGAAACAACCAGAAATCAAAATCAAGACAACTCGTTCGGTATTGCATTGATTTTGTGATTCTTAGTATGACAAAATACAATATATTTTATTATTCTCTAAAATTAGAATACTAGGCACAGGCGCATTTTTATATTTTTATATGACTTTTGATATTTTTAAAATGAATTATGTGATCTTAAATGATTAATTTTAGAAGCTTTCTGTTTATCATTTCATGATTGTTCAACGTCTGATATGATAGAATTTGCTTTACATTCATTTTTATGCATTTTTCAGTTATATAAAGAAACTGTTTTATGCGTTTATTATATTGTTATTTTGTCCTTTATGCAGATTTTTGTCGAAGATCAAGGACAAGCATTGGGAAGGTGTCGAACTTAAGAAGTACTGGAACGCAATGAACAAATAGAAAATATATATTCTCCTTTAGTGTATATATCCTTTGTATGACAATATTAAATTACAATAAAAGTTGTGAGAAAGTTTTTAGTTTCTCTTGGAAATGTTCTCTTAGAGACTCAATACTGGAATTCTATTTCTAGTAAAAATATCAGATCTGTATCTAAATATTATGTATATGATGTATTCTACAATTTGTTATTATTTGTAAGAACACAGTGGAATGGTGGAAAGAACTGTAAAATTCTTCCCATAAAAGTCTTCTACCTCGTCAATAATACTTAACTGCAATAAAGTCTATAACAAATGCAATAGTATATTGCAAAATAAATGAATATTGCAAGATATTTCCATGTTGAACGAAACATACATGGTCACCTTTGGTATACCAATGACAGACTAAAAATTCAATACCTGAAGTTATACCTCTTCGCATATCAATGGAATAAAAAAGAGTTCTTGTATGAATTAGGCATATAATCATCGTCCCCTGGCTTAATCTGATAAGTTAACTCATACATAAGTACAGTGACAAGAGATCCTACAATTAGCTTATGGTACATTTGTTTCAACTCAAAACCTTTCTTAAGGCACAATTCTCTACCTCCCTCTGTATATTCCGAGGCGACACAATTGACACAGCTGTAACCTTGATCAATTGCAAACTGTACAGCTACATTCAAAAGGCATGATGCTATTCCTTTTCTCCAATATTGCTGATGAACACAAAGTCTCTTAATCCATGCACCCTTATCCAATCTGTGACTTTTTGTCACTGCTACAGTGCCTACAATCTTTTTAGCCTGTGAAGAGATGTCGATGTTAGATTTACGAAACTGATCTTCCGTCATCACTGTATAATAAATGTCCTGTGGATGACGAGTCATAAGGTATGGCTCAAATGCCTCGGCCACCCAGAATCCTGAGAATGCATTCGACATATAAACCCTGTCAGAAAAACATCATTAACAATCATAATACAATTTTCATTGACAACTTTAAATTGAATCTATGCTATACAATTATGCACCTTGGAATATTGTTTATTTCTTGGCCAATCTCCATGGCTTTTGTTGTATGTGCCATAAATGTACCGATATAAGTCAATATGATAACAACAGGTATTACTAAAAGGCACACAGTGAATGGAATACCAAAAAATATAAACATTATAGCAGCGAATAATATCATTAGCTGAAATGTTATTTCCTTAAAGACATTTCCAAAAAATGCAGTATGCATAGAGGACATAACACCATCCTTAATTATTTCTCTGCAGTATATCTCGTCACCAGGCTTATAGCTACGTATCACTACTATATGACTCATTTTATAATAAATTTATTTTACCAATTTTACTACAAAAATATTAAACTCTCTGACTTTATGTCAAACTGACTTTATGATTCTCCTTCTTTTTCCACTTTTCAAGATCAAGGTAAAATATTATTCTATGGTTATATCTGTATACCGACAAACGTCCTTAACATTCCTGGTAGCTAAACTAAAGCCCTCCACACACAAAATCGTAACGACGTAAGACGTATGCGTAAGGAAACCAACCAATTAGAATCTAGTCTTCCCGCCTTCAATGGGACAATACCACTAAGCTATAACTCACATGGAGCGCGGACACACACAGTAGGAAAAATAATAAATAATTCTACTGATTTATATAATTCGGAATTAAATTTTAGTAAATATATCAAGTACGTATAGAAAGTAATGGTAGAATTACGTTCCGTTTTCCATAAAATATGCTACATGGGGAGCACAGGATATTAGAATTTTGAACGGAGTGATCGTGATTGCTCGACCCCTACCACATCGTTATTCCGATTCCATGGACTTCTATTTCGTTTTCCATGTACGAAACGGCTTCCTAAAAGTAAAATAGGGAAGGCCCAATTTATCTGGTAGATGTGTGAGACACATGAAATGACTTAAATGTGACTTAACTCCTTAAAGCAAAAATGATTTGACAGATTAATGTCTGTTGCCTCCTGCGTTAATCGAAGCTTAAACTCTTGTTACCCTATCTTAAAACTATATTTAAAAACTTGAACCAGGCTTAAACCACACGCCGTGTATAAGGTAGAAGAACAAGAATACATAACAATCCCATGCTAAGTAAACATACTGATTTTCAATTATGACAAGAAAATTTCAAAAATTGTTAGAAGTAATATTGAAAACAGTCAACAAGTCACATGTAACATATATGAGTAGTTCTATAATAAAAAATGCTCGGACGGTGTTAAGTAATACAAAAACTCTGGCATCTGTAAAATGTGATAACATAGTGAAGGTTCTTTCATAAGAGGTTCTCCATTACGTGTTTTTCAATTATTCTTTAAGAATCAATTTTCATGTAATTCTGAATATTAATAACTATAAGTAGTAGTATTGGAATACAATTAGTGAAGTATATAATTTCACTTGCCTTAAACTGTAGATTTTCTATTGCTCTCATGCAGTTACAATATTAATAAGTATTTTTTTAGCATATTAATAATAGCACATTATTACAAGAAATACATGCTGCTTCCTTGGAGTCTACCAAGCCAATACCATATCAGCTAGGTAATTGGTGGCAATGGTACCAACACTTGACAGGCTTAGATGTGGTACAAACAGCAAAACATAGAGTCAACCAAGTACAAGATATTTTGTTTAAGTGTCAAGAAGAACGGAGAAAACTTACTCGTGAGGTGGCCCATATCAATAAAAGTTTGAGGGATATTTATGAAGAGTTGGTTCAAACCTGGCGTGAGGACCCAAAATATATGGACCTCACTATCTTAGATAATAAACATTTAAAGGCCAAACTTGCAATTAGTAGTCATCTGGTTCTCCTTGAGAATGAAGAAAGAGACCTCATCACGCAACTGGCAATAGCTATTAAAGACTACCAAGTCTTAGACAAGAAAGACTATAAATGCACAAAAATATAAGTATCTATCAATCATTAGCTCGGCAGTACTAGCTATAATATCTATAATTGGTGCCACAGTATATAATAACATTACAATGAAATTGAGTGCGACAACTGAATAAAATTTAAAAGATAACTCAAGCAGAAAACATCTAGAAATACTGTCACGATTACCTCAAAAAAGAGAAGCCTCAGATTCTGGTACTGAAGAAAATTCTGGGTATGGTGTTATGAAAGCACTTAGTTATGTTGGATGGGGAATAGGATCCTGATTCTTTTGGAAAAAATATTGGTTGATAAATTAAAGATGGACTAGATGGCATATATTGAAAGTTTTACAATACTATTGTAAATATACTATATCTGCTGTCATTTCTTACCCAATTATGATACTATAATATTTTTAAAGTGTATAATTAACTTATAAAAGAGATAAAGACTTACTCAATTGTATATACTGAAAATATTGTTCTTATTTAAAAAATAAAAGTGAGACTGAACTGTAAAACTAGAGAAAAACAATGTTTCATACATTTTTTTGAAATATATTTACAATAGAACAGATTGTTATTCATATTTTTAAAGAATAAATATCAAACCCTTTGTGCACTTCATAAGTAAAGAAAATTATAGATACATCAATCAATGATATTATTACTTAACCGCAAACGTCTTTGACATTAAATAGAAATTTTTTAAATTAATATTGTTTCATATGAAGTATGATTACATACTACTTCATACAATTAAAACTGAAATAGAAAATGTATTTATTATTAAAGAAATACTTTTGAAATTGCTTTAAAATTGCCATTGCATTAAAAATGATTATGAACTATAGTAATTGTATTAATTAAAAATGGGACTTAAAATTTATACACCATTATGCTTAGAATTCTTAATAGTAAGTACTAAAGTAAAGAGTAATCTCATTCAAGTTATGAACAATGCGTTAATGTAACAATTGGTAATAATGTAATGCACTATTTTTGAGTTGCGCATGCGGAAGAGTAGTACTGACGTATGTATAGTTTATGTTGTTCTGCTAACTGTGCATATGACATAATTAAACCTAACCTAATCCATGCGTTTGGACCGGTTTAGTGTAAAATAATGAACTTGACATAACTTCTTTTAATATAATTATTATATTAAACATTATTATGGCTGGTAACTCGCGAAAAGTTTTAGAAGTAATAACGAGAGCAGTAAATAAATCGCCAATGATATATAATGCTGCCATCGAAAATGCACAATCCAAGTTAATTACTATGAGGTCACTTGCATCTACAAAGTACGATAATGTTGTTAAGGTATTTAATTTTTGTTGATTCATTGTTGTACAATAATTCCAGTGTAACTCTTGACACTCGCAATTAAAGACTAGAGCAGCATGTATAATTTGATCTGTTGTAGGCAATACAGATTTATTCCTTTGCACCTCCATGTAAATACAATATTATTAATTTTTTTTATTCGATAATGCATTTCAGCAAGTCAATGGAACCACCATAATTCAAGACTTACGAGCTGCTTCCTTGCAACCCGCAAGCCCATTGCCACAACGACTTGTCAATTGGTGGCAATGGTATCAGCAATTGACAGGCTTGGATACAGTGGAGGTTGCAAAGCAGCATGTTATTCGTGTTCAAGATATTTTGTTCAAGTGCCAAGAACAACGTAGGGATCTGACTCGTCAAGTTTCAATAATAAATGATAAATTAAGAGAGGTTTATGGAGAATTAGTACAAACAAGGCGCGATGATCCTAAATATGTCCAACTTACTATATTGGAGAACAAAAGTTTACAAGAGCAAGCAGCAATGAATAAAAAACTACTATTACTAGAAAATGAAGAAAGAGACTATTTTACGCAATTAGCTACAGCTATTAAAGAGTATCACGATAGTCAAGCTATGAATGCTCAAAAATATAAGTATTTATCAATTCTTGCATCAGCAGTGTTAGCAATAGTATCTTTAACTGGATCTATGATATATAATAATAGACGGATAACTGATGTACGAAATCTTATTGCTGATACAGAAAAAAACTTGATAAATAATTCAAGTAAAAAACAGGTTGAAATTATATCACACTTTGATAACAAAATAATTGACATACAAAAATTAATCCTTGCAACAGAGGAAAACTTAATTGGTAATTCAATTGAAACTCTGTCACAACTAAATCACGAAACAAATGTTAGTTCCCCATCTATCACTACCTATGTGGAAGAATTGGCACCTCAATTTAGTAAATTTTCTATTGTTACTGCTAGTATATTGTCTATAATTTTTTTATCCAAATTTTTTGGTGTTTAACATGGAAATGTAATTGTATCATATTTGCTATTGTTACTTGTCAAAGTACAGTAATTAGTCATATGATCAACTATGGCATTTATATTCACATCGTACTGTGTTATAGCTTAAAAAGGCTCAATAAGAGAGCTAACTGTATAGGAGACAACAATGGTACTCAATTTTGTGATTATAAACAAAATGTTTTTTGTATATTCACCGCTTCATTTTAAGGAAATTTAACGTCAATTTGACGAGAAATAAAATATGATATATGATAACTGATTACGTAGATTTTATGATTTTTTTCAAAGTACATTTGTGTTATTTAACAAATTGCTGGTTTACAATGTTAAATTTACAAAAATATAAATAAACGCAATTGAACAAGAATATTCACAATGTCAATCTCTAAAACAATACATGTTATGAGTGTTAAAACATGTATTCTCTTACTGAACTTTATTATACTAGATTAAAAATTTTACACAATTTCGTTAGATATATTTGATGTACGTGTACTTTAAATTCTTTTAAGAAGAATTTCTCATGTATGGATAAGTAAAATAATTGTAAAATAACAAACCACATGTCAGATATTTAAATAATTTATCAGAAGTAACATTCAAATTACAATGTTAACTGATTATGAAAGATCACCAAAAATACAAAATTTCGATTCACTATGCTTCATATATGTGCAATATAATGAAATTATAACACGGTTGTAAGATAGATACAGTTTCAGTCATAGTATTCATCTATCATTGAAAACCAAGTTTATGAGTCCCATGTTTTCCATTCCATACCATCTGGAGGCTTTTTTTCCACTTTACCTTTACCTACTTCTGACCAGTTTGTACTCAACACTGTCCCACCAGATTCTTGCTGTTTCGAAGAAATAAAATATGATTTAAACATAAATTATATTTTAATTTATCCATTATAATTAATCTTTCCAGTCATTAATATTATATTAATGCATTCAAATTTCACCTAACATTATTACTAATTCGTAAAAATATTAAAAACTTGCTTTACTAATGTGTAATTAATGTCATATAATACTTACGAAGGATTTATTCATCGCACGTCTAACTTCATCCGAGCCAGTTCCATATATTTGTTGAAATAAAGCATTGAGAGCAGCTTCACCTTCTGGTTTTTCCTCAGCTTCTTGTTTTTCTATTTCTTTTTCAACCTTATCCCAGTCTTTTGACTTTTTACTCGAACTTGGATACTTTGGTGGTTTATTTCCAGCTTGCAAAATTTCTGTCAGAATAAATTCATTATAAATAAGTTTGTCATATATATTCTTCAATATTACTCTAATGTTAAAATCAAGTACCTTGCGGAATAGGTTGAACAGGGTCTTGAATAACAGGATTCCCCTCAAGAACATTCCATCTAAGACCATCACGCTTTTTCAATTTAACTTCTATCTTGGAGGGAACCACTTTGTATGAACACTGATCTGGCACTATGTGATGTGCTAAATCTAATTCGAGACTATAATCATTGCCTGAAGGCAATTTCGCAGATACACTTAGCTAAAGTAATATAAAGTCTTGTAAAATTCGAGCAGTATATTAGTAGTAGTTACAATAAAATAGCATTTAACCTCAATAAAACTTACCGTCCTTTCACCGTAGGAAACTTTAATATTCTCCGCATTTTTGGCAAGAATTGTTAAAATAACATGCGTCTCCGTTTGATACCAATCGTGTTTTATTTTTGGAGCTGGCAACTAGGAGAAAATTTATATTGTAAAATAAAGAAAATTCCGTTTTTGCGTTATTTGTTCACAACCGATTTATATATTTTCAATACTTACTTCATTTTCTGGCATTTTGGATGTTGCATCCCCAGTAGCCATTTAAGCTTTGTACAGTTTTATTCGCTGCAAAATCCGCAGAACAACTTCAATCATGCAAAAGTCATTGGATTACAGTCATGTATTTTTCGAAATATTACGTACTTTCTCGAAAAGTCACAACACAATCTCAACAGAGAATTGAGACCTTGACAATTGAGGGCACTCACGTTGCCGCGAATATTTAAAGTTTTCAGATAAGCAATGGCCTTCGTTGGTAACAATAAATATTTTGATGACAACCAACAGACGAAAAACAATGTAAGAATTTGTTTGCAATGACACAATATTCACGCATTACAGCGATTTAAGACCTACTTACCCGTATCAATCAATATACAATAATAACATTTATAAAGTTTCTTTATATCTATGATCATATAAGTGTGATAAACTGACGTAAAGAATCACAAATGATTTTCGGTAATAATTTTTATTAGATAAATAACTATGTAGAAATATAGATAATATAATATATTTGTACATTTTTTATATTATTTGGTGCTAGTTTGAAGTGTACATACATACATATGTATATTGACAGCTTAATTATTTTGATTGAATTCGTACTTGTCGATTTATTAATAATTAACATACATCATATAATATTCTAGAAGAGTATAATGTACAGTGAAGAGCAATATGACAGGTTCTTTGAAACAACATTGTATGTCCGAAAAATCTTGTTGAGACTGCATAATATCGCATTGAATTAACAAACGAGATGTTCTCAAACTGACTAGAACCTGTAACTGAATGGCAAATTCTTGAACACACATTTTGTCAAATAATTTACTCTACAGGAGTCACATAATACTTGTTGCAGTTATTACACTACATATTTATGGCCATTCTCACTCCAGAAATTAACCATCAACAGATTTCCCTTGACAACTCACAAAATACAATATTTCTAAAGAAGTTTCAAAATATTATTACTACTACTAGACATCACAGTGCAATGCAATTTTATAAAGCCAGATCAATGTGCTTCAAAATATGTAAAAGAAAACACACCTATAATAATTATATTTTTAACAGATTTGTAATCATTGCTTAGAAAAATATGTAGAATGTCCAGTAACAATTTTGACAGAACATCGTTGTGACATGTTAAATTTTATTCATACTGGAAGTTTGTAAACTTAATTCTGCAACCTAGTCATGAAATATCGCAAATACATTGTTCCTGAATATAATACAGGATCTTCAATGGGAAAATAGATTTTTGGTAGAAGACGGTAACAGAATAGGATAAATACCGCATACGGTAGAATCTCATTTCTCAGCGTTCATAACAATTAGGTACAAAACATCACCGTTTTGATTATACTTATACAACTATACAAGCGTCTCTAATAATAGCTTTAAGAAGATAGGCCTCTGTGCTTCCTTTTAATTCGTGCATAAGGTCCAATATCGGGATCCATTACGAAATCATACAGAACGGATACCCAAGAATTATGTTGTGGTAAATCATCGTAAAATTCAGAAGCTATTCGCTTTACCTGAATAATATAAATTAATAATATACAGTTAGAAAATTTTATAAAGTGTATTAAATTCAGAATACGTACTTCCGGTAACCTGGAACCTGGTACAGCAGGGAAGTCATGGTGCTCGTTATGATATCCCACATTGAATGTAATGAAATTTAACGGTCCATAATAGCTGTATGTCTCATAACCTTTTTTGTACATATAATGTTCAGAAATAAAATGTCCTGCGACTGGATGCAAGCCCATTGCCATTACAGAGCCAACAATTAAATAGACTAATACTTTTCCACCTGAAACAATATATTATAAATATTAATATTGTTAGGAAAATGTTAAAATGAAATTTTCAATTTTCAAAGTATCTTACCAAGAAAATACCATACAACAGCATCAAATAGTAATTGGATGCCTAAGTTTATATACTCTAGTGTCGTTGGCACTTTTGGGTATGTGACTAGAGGTCGAAAAGCATAAAAAAATGGTTGCAAACACACCCAGCAAAACTTTCCAAATGTAGTACAAAATAACTTAGCTTCCAGTAAAGTTGGTAAATCTGTATCTAACTTTTCGTCCCCTTGATACTGTAAAAACAAATCTTACAGATACTTGTAATAACATAGGAGATTACATGTATAAATATGATAGAAGATTCTACACAGGTTTTTACTAAGAAGAATATAATGTTCGTAATAAACTTACTCTGTGATGTTCAAGATGATACTTCTTGAAACTAATTGATATCGGAATACCAATTGGTAAATTTGCAAACATTCCAAAGACCCTATTTGCCATAGGTCTTGAGTGACCAAAAGCAAGATTGTGCGATATCTCATGTATAGCTAAAAAATTATAACAATAAATCCTTGTGTATAAAAATTGAGCTCTTAAAAATATTTCTACAAATATGATCCTAAATTTAGAATTTTCTATTGATAAAATCATCAGAAAAACTGTGTACCTATCATAAATTTATGTGTAGAAACTATACAGATATCATGTATGTGACTAACATCATATATGCCAGATAACTTAATTATTATTAATCTTTCTTATAAGTTGAGTACTATACATTAATTTTCACAGAATGTACATGCATATATTTCCAATCTTAGTCAGTGTACTTGTACCTATATTATATTAGTATGAAATTTGGTTTGTGAAAAAAAATGTACATAGTACATTAACTACTTATAATACATTTGATAGCTTACAAAATCATAAGGACTGCTTACCCAGCATAAGAGAATGGTTAATAACACCACCAATACAGTATGCCAATAATAGAAGTAAAGGATAGTTCAAATCCTTAACTATAAACATAGATAGAAATTGTACCAAAACCATTGCTGTTACTACCCATTTGAAGTTTGGATCGTAACCAAACAATTTCTTTATCTGTGGATATTTCTCTGCATCAGAAAAAATGGTTTTATAAAGCATAAGTTACACGTTCTTATCAAACATTTATGAGTCATATATAAGAAGTCATGAAGTTATGTTCCTCAAATTTTTCTCAAGCCGTCTTTGCAAGTAGTATACATATGAAGTAAAGAAATTCGATCTTCATATAAATACAAAAATTGTAGTTTCAATAAATGAATAGAAATATTTCTGTGTAATATTTTTAAAAAGAAAAAACTTTATTACTGGATCCGAATAACGTTTTACGCCCACTTTTGATATTGCATATATTCTACTTAATATTCTGATCACCACCTTTCAAAAAGAGGACTGACATCATTTGTAGATAAAAATTGAATTAAATTATCCTATTGATGCAATTTACCGATTAATAAAATATAGATCAATTTGGTTATTTATGTCTTTTAACAATAAATCTCTAACAGCATAACAGCTAGTAAATTGATACATTTAATTTGGAGCTTTAAATGCTTGTTAGTTATCAGGATTTTCAATCAACACGTTAACTAATATTTTGGTTTCATACCTAAAATTATTTTTCGTCGACTGGCGTGAGGCTCTTCCGTATAAATCCACTCAAAATCTGACCTAGAAACGTGCTGGCCCATGTTTGATATTCACAAGCTTGGTTATAATTAAATGATTAACTACTGTTAGCTGATACCACGCTGATACAGGAACGTATGAAATACCGGCTAAGTATTATCATATATTCCACATTGCGGCCATAGTTAGGGCGATACGTCAAGATAGAATACTTATTACTTTAGAAAGTTCTTACGTACGCAATACGCGCCATCAGGAGACTCATACTGTAACTGGAATAAAAGCTGGCGCTGAATTTGTTTGTTATTACGTGATAAACAGCTTATTTAACTAACTTTTTGTGCATAATTCACAGGTAAGATTTGATATAACCGATTCCAGCTTGATGCGTCCCATTAATTTGCATGACAATTATTAATTACGTATTTTGCTATATTTAACATTAGATTCATCGTCTAAATAAGAACTACTAAATAATATAAGGACTACATTTTACAATTTAATTTTGGTTGTATCTTACAGTATTTCGACTATCGTACTTTGATTTCTGATATATTGAATTATGCAATAATTAATTATGTGTAATTATGTAAATTGTAGAAACTATTTTATTTTCATATGACTTGATGTAGATAAGTTAATTCTGACATTCATATCAACTACATACACATGATTTCATGTTCTGTAATATTTTGTAATATATATATATATACACATATATCAATGAATGTATGACGTATGACGTTCGAGGTTATATGTAAGAAAAAACCATAGTACCTCCCACGGAAACGTTTATCTATAAATAATCGGATTAGAATTTGATACCCTTATTGGTTACAATGATTTGTTCTTTCACGTATTTATACTATTCTCACTACGCTTGTCTCGTACATTTTAGATAGTGATTGTCATCGCGCGTGTTGCTTAATCGGTGTGACTTGCCTGAAACGTCGTAATTTTGTTTTAGATATTAGTTTTTAATAAATAGGTGAATAATTAGTACAACATGCATTCCTCGTGTCTACAATATTGCATTGATCTGCCTTTGGAGAAGGAAGTGTTGACAGAAACTGTAGAAAAAGCAAAGGATTGGGCTCTTATGCATGGTAAAACATTTATCTTACGATATACAACAAGTTGTTGTTAATATAAGGCGAATGGTATATTTAGAGAAAACATAATTTGATCAAAACACATGCTTTGTTTGTTGCTAGGTATCAGTATGAGATCAAAGGAACATTTCACAAAGGATAATGTACAAATTGCTCCATTTCTTTTATTACCAACAAGCTTTCCAAAACAAGAATTCGAAAAGGCTATACAAGTCCAAAAAATATTAAACAAACTAATGCACATAGTTGCCCATGACTATGATTTTCTTAAAAAAACATTGGCTAGGTGAGTGGAAAACATTATATACATTAAATACTTTCCTCTTGCGTATTCTATTTCATTATTTTTTAATATATATACTAAGCATTTAAAATTTATTCATATCATTCATTGATATAATTGAAATACGCAATAATGCATTGTATATTTAATATTTTTCTTTTAGTACGATTGCAGTGGATGAATTCTCAGCTAAACTATTTCATATTTATGAAACAGTGCATGCGGAAGGTCTAGCACAGGTATGTGATTCATAAATATCGTTTTCTTAGTGCAAGTAATCAATTTGTTTGGTTTTCTTAAACAATCTTGAGTATTAAAATTATGTTACGTTATAGGATATTAGCATTGGTTTACTCCGTTCCGATTACATGCTGCATGGTATTGAAGATTCTAAGATAAAACAAATCGAATTAAATACAATTGCATCCAGCTTTGCTGGCATAGCTACAAGAGTAACACAATTTCATAGGTATTATATTTGCAATGTACTTGTAACTTGAATGTCTCAATTATAATCCTTATAATTCCCCTCAGATATATTTTAACAGAACTGGAACATTCGGATAAATTAATAAACGTAAGTAATTTCTTATATTGTATATTCATCTATTTCTAACAGTTTTTTTCTACCATATTTTTCTCCACTTTTGTATAAGTTTTATAAAATTTAATAAATCACCATTTCCACTATTTCTGATACTTTCAATAGCATAATGGTAGATTTATTATTATTATAACAATGCTTGCACTTAATAGATGCCGTTAAATGAACATTGTTAATGTACACCTATATTTTATTCCGGTTACAGAAACAAACTTTTTCAGGTTCCAGAAAATAATGCCGTATCCGGACTTTGTGCCGGACTTATCGAAGCATGGAAATTATATAATAATGAGAAGTACGTTTGATTTCGGATGAAATATCATCAATAGTCAAGCAGCGCCCTATTGCGTTATCTATTATGACATGTATAGTACTTGCTTCGGATAAAGATAACAGTCAGCCACTTGCCTGTACTGTCGGTTGCCTTTACTTGGCGCTAGACTCAATCCTTGATCACTCGAAGTACATGTACGTTACACGAAATTTGTTTTTCGTTTTTCAGAGCTGTGATATTGTTCGTGGTGGAAAACGTGACACATAACATATGTGATCAACGATTTCATGAATTTGAAATCAGACGACAGAATCCAAAAATAAGAATTATTAGGAAAAATTTAACAGAAATTATATCGCAGGCGCAGCTGGGACCTGATAAGGAATTAATAATGTAATAATTTTCTCTTTGTTCATATTCCTTTTAAAAGCTCATGAATTTTATCAATTATGTGTTTTCATATCATAAGCATTAAATTCATCGTTTTCATTTCAGCGGAAACAATGTGATATCTGTAGTATATTTTCGCTCTGGTTATACACCAAATGATTATCCAACAGAACGTGAGTGGTCGGCAAGACTTTTGATAGAACGTTCTCGAGCAATGAAATGTCCGACCATACATTACCATTTGGCCGGAACTAAAAAGGTATATCGCAAAATAATATAGCACAATAGTCAAATATATTTTTCATAAGCATTCACCAGAGTATTATATGACATGTAACAATTATTAATAATCTGCAAACTTAATTACTAGGTACAACAAGCTTTAGCTCAACCAGGTGCTTTAGATCATTTTATAAAAGATGGTTCAATTGCACGTCAAGTGCAAGAAATTTTCACTGGTCTTTATTCCTTGGATTTTGTAAGTTTCTCAGGTTATGAACCAAATAATTATAAATAATTTTCTTTAATGAATAATAAGGTATGTCATTTATTAAACAGAATGAGTACGGGGATCAAGCAATTGATATGGCATTAGCAGAGCCGAGAAAGTTCGTTTTAAAGCCGCAACGTGAAGGAGGTGGAAATAATGTTTACGATGAAAATATTCGAACTCAGTTGAATAGTATGAAAGAATCAAAAGAACGAACAGCCTGGATTCTTATGGATCGCATTTATCCTCCATTACAAAAAAATTATATAATACGTCCTGGTGATATGAATAACTGTGAAGTTCAAGATTTTACGTGCGAACTTGGAATATATGGAATAATTATTGGGTAAGACATAAATTACTATCGTAATATTACGTCATAGTATGTATCATATGTGAATGAGCGCAGAAGTTAATAAGAATTTTTTCTGTGGCACCATTTTTATTTTTGCAGTAACGCAAAGGAAATAAAAGTGAACAAACAAGTAGGCCATGTTTTACGGACCAAACCGGCTACGGCTACTGAGGGTGGAGTTGTAATGGGCATTGGTGCATTAGACAGCCCATACCTCGTTATTTAAAATGCCATATATTTTTTTATCTATAGATAACTTGAATTTTAGAATAAAGAAATGCTACTAATATTTAAAGAAAATTGATAATTAATTTATTTTTCGTTCGTCGGTCCATAATTTGTATATTGCCAATAAGCAGGAATATTACGATTAGTCGATACAACCAATTTTTGGGATTCTTCTTTCAATTCTGAATTTAATAGGCTCAACTGGTTTCAACATAACGTCTGCCTTTAATTTCATTTCTGATATAGGTGTCATGTGATCCTTCTTAATGATATATCTTCGGAGTACCGTTCCTAATAATGCCTTCATAGCCATCATAGCATACTTCAGTCCTTAAACGTAAGGTTACCATCAATTTCAGGTGCCAGTTGTAATTGAATTTCTTTTCACAATTTATATATTATTCACGTACCTAAACAGTTTCTCGGACCTGCACTGAATGGAGTGAAAGCAAAAGGATGACGTTTTGCAACTTCTTCAGGAAGAAATCTGTCCGGATCAAACTTCAGTGGATCAGGCCAATACTTTTCGCTTCTGTGAACGTGAAATATTCCAAGAACCACGGAACTACCCTTTGGTAACGTGTGTGTTCCTGAAGCGCATTATTGTTTTTTAAATATCTCTTATAAAAACAAAATTATTCATGAATGGAATTTTCCACTTGCCTATATTCAAATCATCGACTACACGTCGTACAAGAATCGGTCCGACTGGAAAAAGTCGCAGAGTTTCTTTGATGACACGTTCTAAATACTCCATGCGATGTAAATCCTCATGTTTTATTGGTGAGTCGTCCGGATCGTCCATACCATAAATATCGTAAAGCTCCTGATAAACTCGGTCCTGTCAAAAATAAGAAACCTGTGTACTCTCCATCGTATACGAGTAGGTTGGATGGATGATTTATTATTGAAAAATTCTTACCTGTATTTCTGGGAAATTCGCCATCATCAGCAGCGCAAAGCAGTTTACAGTAGCAGTGGTATCGTTTCCCTAAAATATAATACATTCAACGTGTACACGTTGATCGTGGACGCTAGGAAAAAAAAAAGAAACACTCTTACTGCAATCATCATTGTGTCGACTTCTTCTCTTAGTTCCTCGTCGGTAAATTTTGTACCGTTGTTAGATAATTCCATCAATAAATCTAAGAAGGCTTTTCGTTGATTCGGTTGATTCTCTATAAATATATTAAGAAGCGTGCTTATCAAAAGATTCACTGGTTTAAATGTATGTCAAATTTTATGCTCACCTACTACCTCACTATTAGCTATTTTGCCATTGACTGGATGAAATGTTTGTTTCTTCTTTTGTATTACCTGCCAACAATTCATTCTATTTACTATCATATGCAATTGCTGTTACTTAACGTATCTAATCAAAATCTTGTTCTATACTTGAAACCCAAATATTTTCTTACATCGTTCGTCAAACTGTGCAAATATTCCACACAGGTACGTTGATCCGCTCCAAGTTGAGTATGATTGAAAATAATATCGGGATGCAACCATATTTTAAACATTCTGGTAAATATTACTTCGAAAGCTCTGTAATTTTGTTATTATTTCATATACGTGTAATAATGTTATCGATGCCTCGGTGAAAATTGTATATTGGGATTTTTATACCTTTTAGCAGATTCGACATAACGAGAATTCCGTTCGGTCTGAGCTTTTACGGCGACGCCCATAGCGGTTTCTAATTTAAAAAAAAATAATAATCAAGGAACCATCCGCGTTATATTAAGTTATAAAATTAAAATAATCACCCACCGCATATAATGTCCAGTGTACAAAGTGATATGTAGTTAAATATGTCAAATTCTTCTCCGTCCACTTCCACCTCCATATTTTTAACCATTATTTGAGATTGTGCCGAGAATACTTCCACAAAAGACTCAAGTATTTTCTGATTAAACGTTGGCAGTATCAATTTCCTATGTACCCGCCATTTCGATGCTGTAAATAACGAGATTATTATATATATTTGCATTGTTTTCCAAATTAAGAAAAAATAATTCCTCGCTCCAACAAGTAAATAGAAGTCAACGCATTAGACTTGATTAACATACTAGCGATTAAAATACTAGAATGGCAAGTATGCGTTATTAGGATTGTAATTAAAAGGGACGGTCGACTATTTCGTCATTAATGCTTCGCACGTGCATACAGTAGAATTTCTAGACATTTCCGCTGATAGTAATTGACCAATTTGTACTTGAAGCACGTTTGCCTCAACTTCGAAGAAACTCACCTGGTGCTGTAAATAATCCCGTTCCGAGCCAAGGCCGTGCAAACTTATATAGATCTTCCTTTTCGATGGTTTTAGGACTGAGGAAAACTGTCTGTAAAACCAGTTTGCACTTGGGTTATTATTATCAAGGTTATAATTTAATAACAATGTTATATTAAGGTCACAAAAAACGTCATCCAAGTACCATTACGAAAATATTCAAATGATAATATCCCCGTTATTAATTTCGTAATTCCCATATATCTGATACACTTAATCATAGGTTAAATGGATTCAGATGTGTTTTTGCTTCTGGTTTTTTTTTTTTTTTTTTTTTTTAATTACGTATTTATGAGTCCATATGACTTTTATGAGCAATTATATTTTTCACGAGATCATTGTCGATAATATCATGCGATCTATGGTAATGATTATGGTTGTAACTTGTAATATGTTATGATATTATAGTCTTGGTAAATTAGAATTTTACTTAAAGAACCGTGTACCTTCATTTCTTCTGCATCGTAGACTGCAAAGAATAAACGTTGTCCCAACCAGAAACGCAATGGCGAAGGATAGGTATTCATTAGCTTGATGATTTTGTTGAGAATATCTTACAGAGGGAGATAATTATAAGTGGCGTTTCTAGTGCAAGATGGTTGTACAATATTTAAGAATACGATTCAGGGAAAATAAAAATTTTTTTTTAATATTTTTTTTCGATGTTTAACCTTTAGAGGGTTATTCTCGCCCAAAAGCAGTAGTATCGTGACTTTGAAAATTTCTAGATATACGAACAAGAAATGTCGAGTAGAATCTTTGGGGTTCTTCCGGAACCCAATGTTGTTCTGGCTGGTCCTCTAAAGGCTAATATATGAAAAATTGCGTAATATAACTTTTTTCATTGTAATAGTATTTTTTGAATGGAACCTAAGCCCGTATGGGCTAACTTTACGTGTTACTATTTTAAATATAGATTCTTGTGTAGAGAGCTAAGAGTTTTTGTGCAAACTTATCGCGTATAAGGTCAACCCATGTAAAGTTGGATTAGACTAGTGTTTTTTTTTTTATGAGTGTCAGAATGAGTTATCCTTACCTTCGTTCTTCCCTGTGAAATAATATGCATTTCCAAGGAAAGGCCAGGCCACAGGCCCCGGATACTTTGCAGCTGCTTTGTACATTCTTAATCTTTTTACATGATACAATATAATCCAAATCAAACCGCATAGAATTGCACTGCACAAGATCAGTCCAGTCACGGAGACCGCCATTCTATGAACAATAGATTATCTCATGATAATTCTATAGGAATGTACGAATTGAGATATACTATCGAATAAATAAGATAATAGAGGAAAAATTAAAAAAAATATTGGTGATAATACAAATTTGTCATTTACATAATATAAAATATACAAAATTGTCATTAAAAATAATATCAGCTCTATTCAACTATATGCGATACACGTTCCATCTTCTTGCAATCAAATCATAGATCGTTTAGTGAACCCTAGTGATTTTCACGTAAAATAGATTTATGCTACTAAAACGAAAATTTCACAAGTCAAAACAATCATTTTAATTTTTTTTTGAACTTTTTAATTTTTCCTTTTAATCCTTTGTAGCCTTACCTTAAGCTGGACTAGACATTAGGTTTCGTTCTAGGGGGAAGAAAATCGACATGAAATGTTATGACTACAGTGTAAAGTTTACAGATATATTTCTCTGCTATTTCTCGATTTCATATAATATTCCTGTAGAATAATGACTTATTATATTCGTTGACTTATATTCGTTAAACGATAGATGACAGAATAAAAAGTAGAGAGAATAAACAATTGCTGTTTTTATGTTATCGAATGACTATGGGACACGATTTTTAATTCAAAATAATAACGAAATAATCTACTCATTAATAAATTTGAACGATCAATATATATTTCTACGAATGCGTATCTTACATAGAAATTTACGAACATGTTCTTTTATAACACAGTGCAGCATCGAGAAATTGCATTAAAATAATTTTGGACATGCCGAGAGTTAAAATGAAAAAGAAAAATGGTCTGTCATAATATTCTATATTGGATAATGAAATTAGCATCTAACAATCCACTTTTAGGTATCTTACCTTCCTATACTTCTTTCTACTATATAAATTTGAAGATCCCGCGCAGCTTATTCTACAGACGCTGACTTTCAACTGACTATTGGACACTGCGAAAGGGCGGTATGGTCCCCACTATTATATTTTACATTTTGAAAGCGAGCAGAATACTAAATGACATATGAACTGACGTCACGTAAAGTGTAGAAGGAAATACATCTTTGTGTACACATTTTTCATGAAATAAATAAATAAAACATATGCTTTTATCCGTACTACACATATCTATAATATAACATAGGATGGCGTAACCTTTAATTTGATTAATGCAGTAGTTCCTCATCGATTAAATACATGAATATTCCCTATCTAAACGAGGTTTTGATTGCGTCTGTCAGGTTATTACGTGTAACGATAAGTGTTCGATATTCCTACTATTATGCTTAATTTATCGCGAGAATACATTTTCTTCTAAAAAAAAATATAAAACATTATATACCTTTCAATGTCGACCCCAATCGATATAGTTTATCATCGTTCTAATTATACTCTGTTGATAAATTCAATAATTTCGATATATCTCGAAGTGAATTGTCGGTCAAGGGCTTGGGTGGTTCGACAGTCGTATATTCGATACATTTTCATGTAAGGAATTAATTCATCATACGTACAGTGTAAAAGAATTCTTGATGTTCTCTCAGAAATACATTTGTATCACGTTATCCTTGAAGAGCATTTTTTCGTACTTTGAGGTACTTTACATATTAGAGGTATAAATAGTTTTACCTTGGAGGAACTTGTTGAACTTGATGTTATATTGTTGTAGCATCAAAAAATTCTCAAGGAGTGGCTATTGTTATTTTTATGGATTATATAAAGTTATTTATTTAGCAGGTCAATTGTTTCTCGCTATTTTATGTCCTTTTAGTTTGCTATGCTAGTAATAAGCAATCAAACTTTTTTATTCGAAGTAAATGGCGCTAATTTTAGATCAAGAGGTCATTCCCGTCTAGAGGTCTAAAAGTAAGGCAATTTTTGGAACTCTCTTTTACCGTAATATGTATATAGGCTCGGAACTTGTTTTACGAATAAAAGGCAAGTTTTTATACTTACAACGAATCGACGACTCCAACCCCATGAATGATACTTTCGTCTATCTCCAATTCCCCGTCTTCAGGTTTCTCATTACTGACGGCCATTCTCGGCCTGCTCGATTACATGGGAAACGGTTGTTACAATTTCGAAACGTTTGAAATAAACGACGAGTACCAGGATTGTGAAAATATTCAAGAATGTTTTCAGTCACTTTTATTGGTTGCGCTACAGAATCAACATAATAATGAAAAATGGAAGTATTAAATAAGAGAAAAAAGATAAAAGCAGAAAGATCAGTTCGGAAGCTTCTACGTGTTTTCTATATGCCCCAGCTTTCTCAAGAACGCTTAGAGATATAAAAATTATTCTTGAAATCTTTTTTAAAGCTTCTTTCAGGTCTACAATTTGAATCCGCATTATTTCTTCGATATCTTACACGAGTCTCTAGAAATATTTAATTGTTTATAAATCAGCATATTTTTAACCAATAAAATATATATTTCTGCCAAGTGGATTTTGAAAGATTTTTAGTTTATTGCTTAGCCCCTTTTTCCCGATAGCTGTGCAACAAAAATATTTCTATTGCAATTTGGCTGGAGTTGATTCTGGTTTTTTTTTTTTTTTCTTATCATAACTGAGCTATATATACGGTACCCTCTCTAACTCGATGTCACTGGTACTTGACCCCTCAGGGGATATTGAGCAAACGGAAATAAAAAGGACTCCAAGACTTCGAAAACCGGCCTATCGCCATACCCTGCAAGTTGATTTTTTGCAATACGTCGTAGAAAGTGAACTGTATATTCTTGAGATTATTTACAATCAAAATATGCAATAAAAGTATATCGATTCTTCGAATCCCTCACATGGGAATGGAACCCCTTGATATGAAAACAATCAAAAGTTAATTCTCATGATAGATACATTTATTTGAATTTTGTATGAAATAGTATAATAACAACAATAATAAAATTCTATAAAATAATACATAACATAATATAATAGTGTAAAAAAACAAATATATATATACACGCGTGTATACCGCTTATAATAATTAATAATGCCCAGTCTTGTGAAAATATTTTTATACAAATATTATAAACTCCCCGTGACCTAACGTATCAGACGGACGTCGTGAGAATACGTTGCATCTTCGAATTCACTTTCAGATTGATCAGAATTCATCAATTCAATTGTTTTACGTAAGTGATTCTCTTTTTTTTCGTTAACCTAAAAAGAAATAAAGGATACAAAACTAATTCAATAAACTGTCACGCACAACCTGACTCAGATACCTTGGGCTGTACGTCGACCGTTGGATTGATGTATTCGTGCTCTCCAGGAATCAAAATTGGTGTTGGATTTGCTTTCTCAATGTCCTTGGCACGATCGAACGATGGATTTTGAAAATGAATGCTAAACGCCAATAGCCAACATACATAAGCATAAGTTAATTAGAAAAAAAATGTTTGTTTCACTTTATATAAAACATTCGTACGCTCCTTACCTCACGTCAGTCTTTCTCAGCAGAGTTAATTTTTTCTTTTGATAATAGTAGTACGCGGATAGTATCATAATTCCTATGGCGACCGTCAGTATTATTCCAGTGAAGGTTCCACCATCGCGCTCACTACTTTGTACCTTCTTATCAAGGATTTTCCAGTTGTTCTCCATTGTCATATTAGGACTCTCGGGACACGATGCGTTCTTATACGGTGAAACGCCATAATGACAAAGGCACATAACCTTCTTGCTTTGGACACACATGTAGTCGCACTTGTGACCCTCGCAAACATTTTCCACTGCCAAAATGGATTATAAAACTTTACTGTTACGCGTTCAAGATAATTGGAGTCACAAGTGACACAAAAGATTTATACTATTTGCATATTTCTTAAAATTCCGCGTATCCTGCATATTGAGAATTCAGATTATTTAATCTTAGCATATCGAAATATGTTAGTTGAGGTAGTTCTGCCATCTACGTAAATTAAACTGTTGCATCAGAATTTTGTATATGAAAGTTTTAGTATTCAGTTAAATGTCACAAAAAATGAGAAGTCCATTTACCGGTTATTTGAAAGAATAATTAAATGTAGAAAGTTGACTTTTTTATATGGGACCTTATGACCGGAATCATTGGCATTTTTTTGTTCATAATTTAAATACTTAGATCAAAGATAGTGGAAATATAAAAAGCATCTTGTGGTTGTTAAACGTTACGGATAAAAAAAGTGGAATTACCGGACATTTCAAAGCATAAATCACATTATCGAGAGGAGACGATAATGAGTTGACAAGGAACGGCTCGCTTGGAATGACGTCACTCTGAACATGGCGCAAAAGCTTGGCAACAGTGCATTATGCGACATAGCTATGTTGAGAATGGAGTAAATTTAGTTAGTACGAATAAGGAGGGTGAGTGTCGCTGTACAGGTTGACTGACCCTGTGCAGAGCGAGCGCGGCATGCGAAGCGTCGGTACAAAGTGAGATACAATTCGGCGCTCTCTCAAGAAGGCACGCGGCACCAAGAGCTTGTAAATACTATAATATATCATTTCATTCTAAACCCATAACGTCTTCACAATTATTTTCCAACTCACGCACCCTCTTATCTTTTCAAGCTATAATATGAACTGATTCGAGCAAGCATTTAAAATTAGTTTTGTAACAAAAATCGGGATATAATTAGGGCACGTTATTAAAAAATCGGAATTATTTGTGCAACTAATTACTATACATTCTGAGTGCTTAATATTCAACATATAGTCGCTAGGGCTCATAACCTCTGCGTAGCAGCAGAACTACCTTAACTACGCAGAGTTTTGACGTCAGAAACAGCTTTATATCAATAGTCATCTGAAAATAGCCACAAATGAAACAGGTATAACGACGAGCCTATGACCGCTTGACGTTTTCGAAAGTTCATATATTTTTCTATAATGATATATGAAAAATAAATTTTGTTAAATTTTAGCTTCAACCAGACCAAATTTTTGTCGTATAAGCAAGTTGGCTTGGACAGTCAAATTTCTGATTTAATTGAAGATAATGTTGCCCTAGTATAATAAAAATATCTATGACGTCATGACTTCATGTACGTGTGACCATATGACTTACGACGGCCTTAATTCGACGACTTACCACTTGGTTGCCGGGATGGTTGAAAAATGGCAAAGCTATGTTTCGCGGTGTATGAACTGAGTCGAATTTGTTGACAATCGGTAGTATTGTGTAGAGAACATTTTTTCACGAAGTTCAAACCATTGATAAGCCAATAAAGGGAATCCTCATAGATGTTTAAGCCATACGGGTAATTGCGCTAAAGACAAAATATCGATAATGTAGATTTTGAAAGAATGTCATAAATTTCATGGACTTGGATGATAAAATATTTACGGTATAGGGTAAAAACCAGAATAAGAAAACTAAGATAAATAAAAAATGTTTAATCACTCCCTTTGCACTTACTGCAGTCGTCCTGATAAAAATCTTCCTGTCTACACCATTCAAATCCGACCGTTCGATGACGTCTCTCTGCGAGTCTGCCCAGTACAAGTGTGATCTGAAATAATCAATAGTTATTCCATTAACGGCTCCAAGATTATTTAAAACAATCCCAGTCACGCTCAAGCCATTAATATCGGCACGGTATATTTCACTCATTGCACCATTCAATCTGAAGAGCGTTTGACCCCAAAACATCCACCTAAAAAAATGCGATGTGTTAAAATAAAAGAAGCTCAATGAAGAAATTAAATAATAGAAACTTTACCCGTGGATTGGATCGACCGTAAGTGCCTTCACTTTGTACATGTCATTGATGGCTACTACTTTGGCGCACTTTTCTTCACTGAAATGGCAGACCTATTGAGAGAATTGGAAATTTTTCAAAAAGTTAAATAATTATGAGATTTTTTTTTCTTAATTATTCAAAATTGAGTATATTAGTTTACTTTTATTGATAGCGATTCCGTATCGTAAAAGTACACGTTATCAGTTATCCAGTCGAGCGACAGTACTTCCGGTTGACCGATATTCTGTATCGTCTTCCGTCCCTCGTCATTTAAGTTCATCTTGTTTATCGTTGCATAATGCGCTGTCAAGATAAATTCACTTTGCTATCTCGATTCACCGTACAGATTTACTCAAGTGTGTTATTCCAAAGAAATAATGCTACTAACCGTCGCTCCAATATATCGTATTGCGAGCAGCATCCACATCCACACTGGTAATATTCATAGTATCATCATAAAAGAGGTCGTGCGTCAGATGTAATGATGGATTTATTTTTCGAATAACTGTCCCCTTCGCTGCTGCAATTATGACCATTGGCGGACCTAGTGGCAATAATTAAAACATTCTTATCAACGTCTTATCGTGATTCGTTATAGTGATATTATTGAAATTTAAAATAAATTTATTCTTACCATCGACTTTGCAGGTGGCCCAATCGCTACGTAAAACATATCCGTCGAAGCACGAGCACAAAAATGATCCTGGTAAATTCAGACAAATCTGAGTGCAAGCCTGTTCCTCGCATTCATTAATGTCTTCGCAGGATGTGCCGTCGTTACGAAGACGATATCCTTCGGGACAACTGCAAACAGCGCCTGCCGGTGTTTTGTGACAGATGCGTTCACAGGGATCAAACAATCCGCATGCGCTTTCTGTTACGAGAGAAGAAGGTTGATTTAGCATTATATACTTTTTAAGTACCAAAAAAAATATCTGTTTCTTTTTTTTACTATACCGCATACACCGCCTTCGTCACTCTCATCGTAACAGTCGGGTGTCCCGTCGCAAACAGAATTAAATGGCAAACAGGATCCGGTGGCACATGTGTACTGATCACAATGGAGAAGGCTGACAGTATTATTGACGCCATTAATATGTCCAGGATGTTGATGATCGCAATTCTTCTCATCAGAATTATCATCACATTCATCAACGCCATCGCACACTCCGCTTAGTTGAATACAGTTCATATTTTCACAAGTAAATTCATCGACTCGACATCCCCCGCAGTGATGTTCATCATCATTCTTAGGGCAATCCTGCACCCCGTCGCACCTAGAAAGAGAGTGGGATTTTATTATAAATTATTTATAAATTTTAATTATCATCACAAGCATTATTACCATACCTTAAACTCTCAGGTATGCATTTATCCGTGGCAAAACACTGGTACTGGTCGCTGGTGCAACCATCGATTTTAGTTGTTTCTTCAACGGAGCATTCGACCTCATCGGAATAATCGTCGCAGTCATTAAGATTATTACAGACCAATGATTTGTCTATGCAGTGTCCATTCGAACAGGTGAACAATTCTGAAGAACAGATATTCGACGGGCAATGAGCTCCTTCGTCAGAGCCATCCATACAGTCAGCCTGTAAAATATGAATTGTGAAAATTGTATGCAACATGTGTCTTAAAATTAAAGGAAAGGGATTATTCACAGACAGAAGACAGGAGGCGCAGATGTACACACGGGAATATTTATTATATTTATATAAAATTATGATTGACTCCAACGCAGAGTATGAATAAAGATATTCTAAGCAACGTTACCCGGTTATTAGGTAGACTCACCTCTCCATCGCATTTCCAGGATATTGGAATGCAACTTCCGTCGGTGCAACTGAAGCTTTCCTGGTCACACGTATGTTTGTTACAGCCACTTTCGTCGGTGAAATCTGAGCAATCCGCACGTCCGTTGCACACGAGATACTTTGAGATGCACTCTCCGCTGAACGCGCATGTGAATTCATCTGAGCAGAATAAATTTATTGTAATAATAAGGAAGTATCGTGATTAGAAAATTATTGGAATTTTTTATATGACCGATTAAATATATATTATCGAATGGTTCAAGGTCAATAACAATTACCCTCATTACACGCTTTCTTCGTACAGTCTGCTTCGTCCGATCGGTCTTTACAATCGTAATTCGAATCACATCGGTTTTCCTCGGCTATGCATTCCCCACTTTTACAAGTAAATTCATTAGCGTTGCAGATTTTACGAGTGCAATTTTTCTCATCCTCGCCGTCTGAACAATCTTGCTGTCCGTCGCACCTTTTGAATATCGTATTGAGTCAGGATAACAATTCATTTTGACCATTAGTTACATAATTTACATGTTTACCATTGATTATTGTAAATGCATTTGTTATCCCCTTTGCACTCCATTTGATTATCCCTGCACAGCACTTCTTCTTTACAACCTTTATTATTTTCGCTTAAAATCATTCCTGGGGGACACGCACACATCTGAAATTCATAAATAACGTATATTCGGTATTTTTTTTAAATTCCATTTCTTTTAAAAATTTTTAATATATTTTTGATCGACTTAAACCTTTACCATTCAGGTAAATCACTGTACAACTGCGTATACGTAATTAAACAATTAACGTTGACTTACATAATTGTTTCGTAATACAAGACACACATGAGTACATCCACCATTGTTTCTACTGCACGGATGATTATTGGGACCGTGAACTTCGTTACGGGTTACTAAATGCATCGGCAGTGATACTCCGTTAATATTACCTATATCTAAAAATTAATATTAAACAATGAATTAAAAATTTGACTTAAAAATTTGGCTCTTACGGGCTTACCAAGTGTAATTTTTTTGTTTCCAGGAATCGCACCATTCTTGTTCGCCCAAAATAATTTCGAAGAACCATGAACGGTCCAGAAAATATCTGATTTCATAATCGTAATGTCCACTAACCCATCCAATCCAGATCGAAACAAATGACGATCAGTACCTTGAAATATTATTTCACGTTGATTCACGGTTAAACAAGAAATTTCGATAAATGATAAATATTTTTTTTCCAATCATTTCAGACCTTCCCAGGATGTACTCTCAATTCTACCGGTTCCACGATCTGCCCAGAATACACGTTCCAGAGTTCGATCGTACGTAAGGGCTACATTTGGACCCAAAATTCGATCTTCTATCACGTGGGTTCTCGAACCGGCTCCATTCATTTCCATCTTATCAATATGAACTTTCTTGCTTGAGGCAAATGCCACGTACATTATCCTATAATTATAATTGTTATTAATGATCGTCATCAACAAAGACACAATGCACATTGATCAATGTAATAATATTATCGACTGTACCCATGTTCAGGAATTAGAAGTATGTCTCTCGGCTCTTCTGAATAATTAAATGTCACTGACGTTTGAGTGTTGAGATTATAAACGTGAATTGTTCGATGATTTATATCGCACCAATATAAATTGTTTCCATAATAATCAAAATCCATTCCACCGATTCGACTGCTTTGAGCGGCTATTACCACGTCCATACTTCCACTGCGTTGATTAAATTCATATATCGTATTGGTAATCCCGTCAGCCACAAATATCGTATCTAGATTCATAATACCATTATGAGTATCACGAAAAACTTCGACGGACTTGACATTGTCTTTTAATTTGAATGAAAAAAATATTTAATCACCTTTAAGTGAATTATACGCAAGTTCCGTAATATGTGTCATCGTCAAACTTGTCGTGAGTTTAGGTTTTCCTAGGAGCGCATGGTAATATTCTATGACCATATAATTAGCTCCGATAAACAACTGATGTTGTTTTTCCTCTTCTAAAAAAAGAAAAATAAATAAATAAACAATATTTTATATCGAACGAAACATTTCAAAAATGAAAATCATGCTTATATTACATATTAAATTAATCATAAATAATTCTACATACCCGTGCAAGTGCGACTATCGCTACTTAATTTCATGTCTAACGGACAAGCGCAGGAATACTTCTCATTACGTGCTAACAAGCATAGATGTGAGCATGGACTCTGCTTACAGAAATTACGAGTCTAAAAAAAAATAAATAAAATAAATTTTCCCTCGTACTGATAAATCATTGAACTAATAGTTCAAAACTGAATTTTCAAAAAAATATAATTCTCTTATAAAAATACCATTTTATGAATTGCAGAATGATATATATAAATCCCATAAATAGTATCACGCTGTTTGATCAAAACAGATTGATTCTTGCCAGTGAACTTATCACAGGATTGAATATGCTTTAAACGCCAATCGCTCCAGTAAAGCCTATTTTCAAAAATCGCTAAAGAATACGGATGTTCCAAAGCAGCGTGGAGTACGACCTAAAAGGAAAAAAAAAAGAGAAATAGAAAAGGTAATTATTATGAGAAACTGTAATACCAGTCGAAAAGATCAAACTGTTTCATCGTATCGATTGATCCATAATACTACTTCTCGTTTCGTACAAGGTATCAAAGAAGGATTTACTAAATACGAACTCTTCGATCCCTCCCATTGAGTCCGACGGATTCGATGATTTTCAGTTTGGCGTCGACCCAGTAAAGCCTCTGATTAGGATAATCAATGGTCAGGCTATTCGGCCAAACTAAGTTCTCCGTGATAAATGGCTCACCATCTTTACCATCCATACCGGCCTTTGATATATGAGGCTGCAAGCCCCAGTCGCTCCAATACAATTCGCTGTAAAAAAAGAACGTCAAACCTGGTTTAAATACTGTAGGTTACAAGTACACGGGATGTTGATAGACTGTATATAGAGATCAGATGGGTTTACTTGTATTTACAACACAAAGCGTTCAATGGGATTTGAGCAGTTCGAAATGACTATCGAATATGATAAATTTAATCCAACGTGATCCTAACCCTTTCATTGAGAGTAAAGCCAATCCTCGTGGTTTATCTGCAGCCTCCGTGATGATCACAGTACAATAAGACCCATCATTGTTGCATACTCCTATGTGCTTGAAATAGCTGTCGGTAAAGTAGATATTTCCAGTTATCCAATCGATTGCTACTTGCTCGGGTAGACCCAAACCTACGAATGAGATAAGCATATTAGTATATATAATTATATATAACATATATTTCTTTATAAGTATTGGTCTATCAATAAATTAATTCTTCTGCTACTTACCAGCTGTTACGATCACTGTTTTTGGTCCACCAGTATCTGGACTCTTAACAATAGCTTCGTCTCCTACTTCGGCATCTGCCCAGTAAACGAAATTAGCATCTAAAGTGACGCCAATGACATGCTGTAAATTTCGAGCTATTGGGAAAGTAACGTTCGATTGAAGATAGTGGGCACGTATTTCGCTTTTTGTAGAGTAGACCATTATGGCTTCTCCTGCTGTTCAATGAAAAAGCACGTAAAATTAAATTATTATTTAATTCAATCTGATTGCTCATGTCGTATTATCATTTTAATAAATTGTAGCATCGATTCTTTAAAATCCTCGATTCTTTTACGAACCATCAGCTTTACAAGTTCTCTTATCGTCTTGCAATGTGTAATTGGCCTGACAGGTGCAGTGAAATGATCCTGGGGAGTTGACGCACTCGTGATCGCAAATTCCATAAATCTCACACTCGTTGATATCTAATCGATAAAAATAGTAAAGAATTAGTTGCCATCACGAGTCCTTTTCTCAGCATAAAAAAGTTTATCGTCGCTTTTACCGATGCAGATTTTACTGCCGACGAGCTTGTATCCGTTTCTACAGTAACAGAGAGGACCGTTTGGTGTTCTTTTACAGAAATGACTACAGTTATTGACGGAGCATAATTTCTCAGCTGCAATAAAATATTTAACACCTCTGAGATCAATAAATACAGAAGCACTGTTTTAATACAAAAAAATATAAATAAAAAAGGACTACCGAATATTACCCTCGAGGAATTATTTTTTGAATTATTCAGTAATTTCTTTTTATTTCTTACCACTATCGCACTTTACACTATCTTCGTCCGAGTTATCGCCGCAATCGTCCGCCGAATTGCATACCAGTGATAACATGACGCAGTTCTTGTTCTTACAGAGATATCGATTATTCTCAGCAGTACATTCTATACGGGTTACCGTTGAATTATCTGAAACAAGAAAATTTAAGCATGATGAAAATTTCATCGTAAGAATGTATAATTTTATAATTTTTCAAAATATCTATTTTGACAAGACCTACCGCAATGTACTTCGTCGCTGTTGTCTCCGCAATCGTTATTACCATCGCACACCCACTCGTTCATTATGCAGCCACCATTTTGACAGCGAAAATTTGAACATGTTTTCTATGTGTCAAGTTAAAATATTTAGATTAACTTACTATTTCGCAATTTTACTTTGTTCATTTTCACGTAAACGAATTTTCTGTTTCGCATTATCGCACCAGAGATATTTCGGTACTCACATTAATACTACATCCAAAACTTTCATCACTTCCGTCCAGACAATCATCCCTCCCGTCGCACACCCAAGCTTCCGGTATGCATAATTTATCATGACACCGAAATTCACTTTTATCGCAAATAAGCTTTCGTTCCTGTAATGAAATTATATATTAATATATCTAAGTATACTTAACAATATCTTATATATTAATTTCATTAACCCGAGAATGGACGCGTGATTTTATTCTCCCTTTGACAAACCATCGGCTGTCTCACACTTTCCACCCGGCTACTCCCGGGCTAAGTGTATCATACATTATATATTATTATTTGTAAATAATTCTCTGCATTGTAGCACGCTTATCGCGTCTTCATAGACGCCTTTATCAGACGTCTTTGTAACATTTGTATTGACTGAAACGTGACAATTTTTTCGAAGTTTACACTTCATCCAATATGCTGGGCACACGTGGTGGAAAAATATGAGAAAAAGAAAAATGGCATTAATATCCGGAAAATTCTCGTATGTCGTTATATGAAATATATATATAAAGAGAGAGAGAGGGAGAGAGATGTATACAATAGTTTTTTCCCAGAACATGATAGATTTCTCTTGGGCGTGGAGAACAAAATGTTCAAGACATTGGCCGTGAGTTATTATTTACAGGCACTGCCGGTAACGTCAGTTGCAACTGACTCGAGAGCTTTTTTGCAATTCGGTCAGTGGCCAGTGAAATATACACCATAAAATGGCTAATACTAACGGAAAAATGCAACGTGATACTAACCTTAGGTTTTGAACAGTTAGTTTCGTCCGAAAAATCCTCACACTCGTAGCTTCCATCACACAGGAAAAAAGATGATATACAGGAGAGGCCATCTTTGCACTTATAAAATTCGGGTGCAGGGCATTCTGAAATATCTGAAATCATATAAATAAATGAGAGATATGACGAAAGCGATCAATGGTAATTCTGTTGGATTTATTCTTTGAGAATAATAACTTGACAAATATTAAACTCTTACCAATCGCACGAACAGAGGGACTCAATACACTCCATATTAATATTCCTGACAATACCCGTAGCATCGTATAAATCTAGAATTAAAAATATATTTTATATGAAATTTTTACGCTACGTCAAATGCTTCTTATTGCTCGTGAGATTTTCTTTGATTCTATGTTTACGTTTGATAAATATTTTCTTATTATTCTTATCTCTTGTTCGTTAGTCGTCTGTGGCATTTAGAGTGAAATCGGCGTGACTTCAGTAGGGTTAATAACATTTACATCCTGTTAAACCGAAGAACTATCATATTCGTATTGCCATACCATATTTCTATATATTCAATGTTACATATGAAAGTAAGGAAGAGAGAGAGAGATTATGTTTACAATATGTAGTGAAAATTTAAGGAGAAACCATATTAAAGGTTAACTTTATCATAAAGAGTAATTAACAATTATTAGAAAATTTCACGATGAAACTTATGGCAGAGCTATTGTTATTATTTTACTTGTTTTATGGTATTATATTGTTTTGTAAGTACCGATATAACAATGTATCCTTGTAACAGCTATATATTGTCTGTTCTGTGATTCAGGATCGAGAAGAACAGTAAATTGGTCAGAATTGAATAATCATTTCTATTAAACAAATGATACAGTTATTTGCATCGTATACGTGGAATTATTAATTTTCTTTGATTCGTGATCAAGTGGGTAATGAGATTTTTTTGCGATTTAATAATTTATTATTTATTAAAATTATCACTGCAGATAATAGGGAATTTATGATTTGAAATTTATGTAAAAGGATATCATTGATCTTATATGATTTTATTAAAGAATCGTGAAGTGATTGTTCAGCCAGTGTTGTTTTAATCTTTCAAAATTTTTTCAAAGTAATTTTAACAAACCTACCATGCGTTAATGTTGCGATGGTTCAATTTTACGACTGCACCAGGACTCTTTCAAGTAGGAAATGAGCCACGCAAAGGCTTTATGGGTATATATTAATTTAAGTATATATATGATCATGACTCCGAATAGGGGGATATCACGGCCATTGCTGAATTACGTGTTGGGAGCAATGTTGATACATTTATTTATAATGTAATTTTAGTATTAATGACATATTTCAACTGTAATCTACTCAGTCAATCGAAACGGTGGTAAATCCTCAAGAGTATCACGTAAATTTGAAGAAGAATTATATCGAAATAAAATTTCGGTATAACTGTCACTTTGAGTTCCATTTTTAAACTTTCTGTACACTGGTGAGTACAGTCTTCGGTCAAATTAACGTCTATAAATATTTTGATTTGATAATATAATTTCGAAGATTATTTAAATTGTTACTGTCAATTTAACCGAGATTTGTCATGAATTTTATACCAAATAAGATATAAATCAACCGTTAATCAAATTACTATTACCGGATATTCTAAATATAACTAAGTCGATAAAGTTAGTATTTTACGCGACATTCGAAAGTTTGAAAAATAATCATGATTTCTTTTATTAGAACTGTCTTTTGTGTTTAACGTGACATAACAAAATTCACATAAATCTACTGCTCGAAAGCGATAAAATAATTGATGTTCTAATGATTAATATTCTAAAATATTAATTTTCTAATAATTAATTATCCTCATTTCAAAGATTCTAATACATTTTGAATGTTAAAATGTTCTCTTTAATTTTAGCATAATAATTACTTACCTAGCGTGGAAAAACCAATTGATACACCGCTCTTTGTCGAATAATCTATAACGATGCCGTTGAAATTGGAAAAGTAAAAGGTTCACAGGACTACGGCTCACACAATGATTGTGATGTTCAAGACGACTTCTGAAAGTCCCATCATTGTTTTGAACGAAAATCTTATCAACGAAGTAAAGGTCGTCGTGAAACTACATTTAAGTACAATGCCTAATATTTGAAGAATGCTGGAAAATCAAATGATAATGAAGATAGACATATGAAACACTAGATTTACATTCATAAACATTTATTACACAGTTCATGTATAGTATAATGTAGATTTTATTAAATATTTTATTAAATGTAACATTGTTAATTTCATTCAAAAATTAGTAACGATCGTTTTGATCTATGGTGCATTGCTTTATATGGCACATCCCTGCAACTCGGTTTATCACCGAAAAAAACAAAAGCTTGTTGCTCTCCCATCAGCTGTATCTTGGTATATCCTGAATGAAGTGAAGTAGCCACCGTTTTTCCAATTTCATCCGAATTATTACTTTGGTATTAACGTCTTAATCATAGCGTGCAAAAATGCCCCGTTGCCTGATAAAATCAATGGCAAGGTATCAAAAAGGAAATCATTATTCTACAGGTATTTCTCCTTTATATCATTCCTTTGTTGGCTCAAAGTAAACTTCACTGACTCGACAAATATTTACGGCATCCATTTTTCTTATTTTCATTTAACAGCGTTAAATGTTTTTTAATATATTAATAGATGTTTAACACATTAATTTTCAGAGCCGGATTTATCAATGTCATGGTTGCCGCCACTGGCAGAGAAAAAGAAAGTGCCAATTAAGGAAGTGTCTTTGAAATCAAATAATGTTTGGGCATGTCCACGGCTTCCAATTGTTACTCGCTATAGTTTCAAAAGGGATAATGGTATGTTATGGAACACATCCATTCCTGATGAGATGGGTTTGCATCTTTTTGATTTTGTAAAAGAAAATGAAACTGCACCAAGTGCAAGCAGTTCTGCTACAGTGACTACTGAACAAGAAACAGTAACAAAATCAAACAACAACAAAGCATGTTTTCAGAATATAAAGTTATCCAAGCAGTTTGAAATAAAAAACTTAAAGACAGCTATGGATATTAACGTTAACAAGAGAGACAATTCTACTGTTCACACAGAAAACTATAATAATACTTATGTACAAAATTTGTCTCCACCATTGTATTTGACTCCAAATAAGAAACTGATTGAAACTACGAAGATCTCCAATAATGAAAAGTCGTGTGCTGAAACTGATGGTTCACAAACTTGGAAGCGTAATAAAGCAATGCATTATTGTCCATACTGTAAGAAGAGTTTTGATCGACCATGGGTATTGAAAGGACACCTTCGCCTTCATACTGGCGAAAGACCTTTTGAATGTCCTGTATGTCACAAATCATTTGCTGATCGGTAGGTAAAGTTAAATATTTGATACAAGAGGAGTTCATTAAATATAACTTTATCTGTACATGAATTTTATCCTTACAGGTCTAACCTGCGTGCTCACCAACGTACAAGGAACCATCATCAATGGCAATGGCGTTGCGGAGTATGTTTTAAAGCATTTTCTCAAAGACGTTACTTAGAACGTCATTGTCCTGAAGCCTGTCGTAAATACAGAATATCACAAAGAAGAGATCAAAGTTTTAATTGAATATAAACTGCTGTTTTTAACAGTACTGCAATTTTTAAATCAAACTTCTAAATTATTCACTTTATTGAGTTTATATAAAATTAAGTATAAGTATAAAGTCTAATAAATAAATACTATATACACAAATGTATTAGATTTAAGTGTAATTCTATTAAATAATGTTCATATTATTAAGTTTAATATTCAATTACATAAATGCAATCACAATTCAATAAATATATAAATTATTATAGGTTAATTACGGCTTGCAATTTGTATATTTTAACAAAACTATTGTCTATTCAGTATCTTTTATATTTTTACTAGATTCAAGTTTGTCGAAAAGTGATATAATTTAGAAGGTTCGAAATAACCGCTTCCATGTCTGATTATGAATTTCCAAATGGTTCTGACGATCGATGAAGCCATTGGACAAGAAGCTAACGTACGGACAACGGCATCCGTCAACCAATAGCCGTCCGATTCGTCATAGAACTCTATAGACGTTACCACGCCACTAGCGCCACAATCATACCGTTTCTGGTCTGAGTGTTTTTATTCTTTCATGTTCATGACACACATCGTGCACATTCGCAGATAATAATTGTTGTCCGCATTTGACGCAGTGCGTTAGTTGGAAAATATTAATTGAAAAAAAACACAATAGTGCCGCACGCTGCGCGTATCAAATTCTCCGAGCTGAAAGAATAAAGGAGTGCTTTGACGGGAAGAACGCGGTAAGAGCGCACTGCCAGGATTCTAAAACTTGACATTGGAACGGCCATTTTGGCGTGTTGTTTCCCAATCAAGTGCTTCGCTCAGCATCGCTATCCATCCATTTCGAGGTAAGTAGATTCGCCTTTGCGAGCGTTTTGTAGTCTTCATAATGTTATAAGATTAGAGATTTTCATTTTCGTTAAGGGTGCAGTCTCCTCGCTAAGTATTTTCGATTAGAGCTTCGCGGCGAACTATACCGGACTTGCGCTTACGGTATCGTTCCTAGTCTCCGCGATCCTTCACCTGTCGGTATATCCTGCATACGCTTCGTGATAGCTTTACAATTTTTTCGGAAGAATTCTTTTATTCACAGTATGTCTCATCAATTTCACTATTCTTTTCTTCCTCTTATTTAACCGAGCTAGGTTAGACCGAAATTCGGGCAATTTTTTATTTAAGCAATTTATTCGTTGTCTTATTCTTTTTTCCATACGGGTGTATAACGGGCGTCGAGGCATTTGGGACGATACGAACGTTCGACAAATATTCGCCGCGTCCTGCCACATCTTAGTGTTATTCGGCGTCGCGTCCATAAAAATTTGGTTTTGTTTTGATAAAGTTTCATCCTTGCTAAAATTCGATATTTCGGATAACGCTTATCTCAGGCTAATTATTAATTTTCGTTAGAAATAATCCGAAATGAGTTACAGAATCAAATCAGCCAGTTAAATTGTAGCATCTGATCGTTGATAACGACGTCGATGTTTTTGTGATGATAGTTTGCTCTGAACTGTTAAACTTGGACAATGCTAGTAACTAGTTGAACTTTTATTTTAATTAAAACTTTATTTCGAGATTGTAGAATTTTCTCAAGAAATTTTTTACATCTATACTTTTTTCATTGATATTTACAAAAGGAATTTGTTCTTTGTTTATATTATTAAATGGTAATGTGTAAGATAGAATTTTTCAAAAATGTTATATTTGAATGTTACATGGGAAAGAACGACATCTTCAATGTCACTTTCATTATTGGAATGAAGACTGTATAAATAACAGTGTTCCAAGAACTTAATCCTGAGTTTGTATGGCTTCCAATATGTAAAAACTATTCAAATCAAACTTACTGTATTGAACAAAGGTGAAGCTGTGAAATTTCAATACCTTCGACACTGTTTGTTATTTTTTTTTTCATTCTCCAAGCAGCAGTATTCAGTGATATTTGAAAGTTTCGTTTGAACTCTTGAAAGAGTAACATTCATTTGAATAAAGTATTTATGAATCGTAACTCTGATCATACATTGACTTTTATAAACGTAAAGCACAATTTTCAAACTGCCAGTAGTATTTAATATTAAACTTATACTTTGTTGATTCTTAGTATATTAATTTATATAAATATGCTATTTCTTGCATACTGTGAATTATCTTCTGTATGTAGTTGCATACAATATAAGTAAAATGTATTTCTCTTCTTTAATTAGCATTAGATAATATTTATTAAATCGAATACAGTGTAATGTTTGATATACAGAAATATATTATTACTTAGTATTATTTTCTATTGTTCCAATTCATGACTAGCCAATTGCAGTTCTAACATTTTAGATATTTGTTTGTAGAATGTTTAAAATTGTTCTATGTCAGAAATAAATATGAAAAAAAAAAGTTAATTATTCGAACATCTTTTTTTACAGAACATAGAGACGCTGCATTGTTTGCGATATGATGACCGAAACTCATATAAATTCTAATCACATGCTGAATTCTGGTCTTGGTACAAAGGCAGACTTAGAGAAAACTGATGATGTAGGTTGGAAAGCTAAACTAAAAATTCCACCCAAGGACAAACGTATTAAGACAAGTGTAAGTAAATAAATTCCTTGTTACTTGATTGTAAAAGTTTGATCTAATAAAAACGATCCATCTTGTATTTAGAACATTTCACTAATCAATACCTTGATATATTATAGGATGTCACAGACACACGTGGTAATGAATTTGAGGAATTTTGTCTGAAGCGCGAATTGCTTATGGGAATTTTCGAGAAAGGTTGGGAAAAGCCATCTCCAATTCAGGAGGCTAGTATTCCTATTGCACTTTCTGGCAAAGACATTTTGGCGCGCGCTAAGAATGGAACAGGCAAGACTGGAGCATATTCAATCCCAGTACTCGAGCAGGTACATAGGCACCTACCGCAATATTATTATCTATACTATCCTATATGATATAATTATCATTTTTTTAAACCAATTTTTCCTCACAGGTTGACCCACAAATAGATGTTATACAAGCATTGGTAATAGTCCCTACCAGAGAGTTGGCACTGCAGACATCGCAAATATGTATCGAACTTGCAAAGCATATGGATGTAAAGGTGATGGTAACTACTGGCGGAACGAACTTGCGCGATGACATCATGAGGATTTATCAAAAAGGTTTGTTGTGTTCGACTGAATTGCCTGAACATTGTGTAACACTAAATTGTCTTCATTATCATGTTGTTTCGCCATAGACTTTTCTCTATTTGTATAACTTATGGTATCCACGAAGATATTAGACATCAGTACTTTGTATTTTTAGAATTAACATGTCGTTATTTATGCTTATGTTACAATATCTTTGCAGTACACGTGATAATAGCAACGCCAGGAAGAATCCTTGATCTCATGGATAAAAATGTTGCCAATATGGATAATTGCAAAATTTTGGTCTTGGACGAAGCTGATAAGCTTCTGTCTCAAGACTTTAGGGGGATGTTAGATCACGTTATTTCCAGGTATAATATATAAAAAATTATTAAAAACTATAATAATTTATTACAGCATTTGGATAATAAAAAGAGTACGCGATATTATTTAACGACATAACTTTTGATCTTCGTTAGATTACCAAAGGAACGTCAGATATTGCTGTATTCAGCGACATTTCCTCTGACGGTAAAGCAATTCATGGAGAAGCACTTGAACGAACCATATGAAATTAATTTAATGGAAGAGTTGACTCTAAAAGGAGTGACACAGTACTACGCCTTTGTACAGGAACGTCAGAAAGTTCATTGCCTTAACACGTTATTTTCCAAGGTAAGTTATATTTATTTATTTTCACTGCCACTCATTAAACAATGTCACGATTTATTAACATATAATGAATTCCGTCGGTGAAGAGAAAAAAAATTCAATACCTTACATTCGATTATTTTAGTTACAAATAACGCAGAGCATAATTTTCTGCAATTCGACGCAACGTGTTGAATTACTGGCCAAGAAGATAACAGATCTTGGATACTGTTGTTATTACATACATGCGAGAATGGCACAGGCGCATCGAAATCGCGTGTTTCACGATTTCCGTGCGGGATTATGCCGGAATCTGGTGAGTTTTATACGACAAATATATTACCTTTAAACTCTATTCTCATTGAAATCGCGTTCCCATAACGTTAAACGCAGATTACATACAGTTTAAGGCTATTGGCACAACGCTTTGATGATCAAAAGTTTTCCTTTATTATTCTCGCTGTGTAATAATGAAGCGTACTCCGCGTGTACATATACGAAACCCATTACGAAGCACATATTGTTTATTACGCATATCAAAGTATACTGCTCAAATCTTGTTTATCCATTTAGGTTCTTTATACTTCTCTAATTGCAATGTTATGGCCATTATATGCCAATCAACCATATTCATTATAGCGTTTCCTGATATTAATAACTATCAAAGTTATAGCGAAGAGTCATTAATTAAATCATTTCCCATTATATCCATAGACATGTCATTTTACAACATATTGAGTATGAATCTGAAATGTTGTATAAACTGAATACTTTATCTGATTGATTATTCAATGATTGATTACTTCATTAGGTCACTCCTTATCTCGTTACTCTGGTGTAAATATCCTTAAACGTGTTTAAAGTTATTTGAAAAGTCAATCGGATAATATGAAAGATGATAGGAAAAAGGGTGAAATTGCATTAGCACGTTGCAAAGTGAAACTATTAGATCCGTGTCCATAATTTCCTTAGAGTTATCATTATTATCATAAGGAGATGAAGAGTTTCTTGATACATGAAATTACGACTGTTATATTTACAGGTGTGTAGCGATCTGTTCACTCGTGGTATCGACGTACAAGCTGTGAACGTTGTGATCAACTTTGACTTTCCGAAAATGGCAGAGACGTATCTGCATCGTATCGGTCGCTCAGGACGATTCGGACATTTAGGTATTGCAATTAACCTAATCACCTACGAGGATCGTTTCGCCCTGCACCGCATCGAGCAAGAGCTCGGAACTGAAATCAAACCGATTCCAAAGGTGATAGATCCCAGTTTGTACGTGACAAGACCGGAAGACAATAATAGCATGGAAGAGGGTAACGTGTCCAAGTAGTTTCGAAACGCAATCGAAAGGAAGCTATAGAAGCGCTCAAAGGATGTTGAGAGTGGAAAAAAGTGATTGTGACTCGTACGTATGATGTTTATATGTCGATATGCTTCGAACTCAGAGGAAGTGAAAAGTTACTTAAGTCTGAAGACAGTCGACACGGTGTGTTTAGCAGTGTAAAAAAAAAAGACTAACAGTGCTACAAACATTTAGATTAAAGGGGGGGGGGGGGGGAGAGAGAGAGAGG